AATGAGCTAAAACGCAAGAAACGTTAGTGCAGAGCGGGAGCAAAACGGAGACCGAGAAAGGAAATTCAAATCATCTCTTCCATCGATCATGATGGACGATGTGAGATCACTGGCCAACAAGATGGATGAACTCCAAGTCGTTTCGAGGACTCAGCCAGAGTGTCGGCAGTGCAGTGTTATGTGTTTCACTGAGATGTGGCTGCAGGATTCCAGCATCTCTCTACCAGGATTCCTGACTGTACGAGCAGACAGAGATCTGAAGAGGAGCGGGAAAAGAAAAGGAGGTGGAGTGGCAGAGCTTGTCAACAACAGATGGTGCCATCCAGGTCATCATTCAGTGAAATGTTGTCTCTGCAGCCCAGATGTTTAACTCTTGGCAGTAAGTTGTGGCCAATATTATTTGCCAAGAGAGTTCACCAGTGTTGTCTTGGCAACAGTTTATATTCCACCTTCAGCCATTGCTGAAAGTGCATGTGATGCCATCAGTTCCGTTGTCGCTAAGCTACTAACCCCAATGCATTTCTGGCTATATCTGGTGATTTTAATCATGTATCGCTCTCTGCTACATTTCCAACATTTCAACAGTTTTTCAGCTGCTCCACCAGAGAAAACAAGACATTGGATTTGTGGTATGCAAATGTAAAGAATGCATACATGTCCAAAACAAGACCTCCTCTAGGACAATCAGATCACAATCTTGTTTTTCTCTGCTTAGAATACTAACCACTTGTTCAGAGGCAACCTGTGCCTAGAAGAACTGTGAGAAAATGGTTACAGGATGCTGAAGAAGCCCTACAGGGTTGTTTTGAGATCACAGATTGGATGACTCTCTGCCAAGGATATGAAGAGGACATCAATGCCATGACTGGATGTGTCACTGACTATATAAACCTCTGTGTGGACAACATCATACCCACCAGAACATTGAGATGTTTCTCTAATACCAAACCTTGGATTACCAGTGAACTGAAGAATCTGCTAAATGAGAAAAAAAGAGCCTTCAAGGAGGGAGACAGGGAATTATTGAGGAGTATACAGAAGTAACTGAAGAGCAAGATCAGAGACAGCAAGGAGGTATACAGGAAGAAGCTGGAGAACAAACTCCAGAGAAACAATATCAGAAATGTCTGGTCAGGGATGAAGAAGATCACAGGCTTCAAGCAAAGGAAGGATTGCACAGATGGCAGCCTGGACACAGCCAATGAACTGAACAAGTTCTTCAATAGGTTCAGTTCAGGAACAAACCCAGCATCCTCCTCGCCTGTCCCCAGCCAGTCAGACATCTCATCCTCCTTTGATCCAACATTTTCCTGTCACACTCCAGCTCTTTTGTCCTCTAACACAGTCATGGACTCTTCTGGATCTATAAATCTGTTCAACCAAGTCAGGAGATGCTTCTGCCCCATTTACCTCCCCCTCCCACCTATCTGTCTCTAGAAGTCAGGCGAAGAGGCAGTTGGAGAGACTGAAATGGAACAAGGCTGCAGGTCCAGATGATGTCAGCCCCAGGGTACTGAAGGCCTGTGCAGAGCAGCTCTGTGGGATTCTGCAGCACCTCTTCAACCTCAGCCTGGCCCAGGAGAAGGTTCCAGTCCTGTGGAAGACATCCTGCCTTGTTCCAGTTCCAAAGGAAACTCGCCCATCAGTCAATGACAACTACAGACCGGTTGCCCTGACATCCCACATCATGAAGGTCCTGGAGAGACTCCTGTTGGTCCACCAGAATAAGCAAACAGGACATATCAGGACCCGCTGCAGCTTGCTTATCGCCATGGAGTTGGAGTTGAAGATGCCATCATCCAGCTGCTTCACCCAACCCACTGTCATCTGGACAAAACAGGCAGCACTGTCAGGATCATGTTCTTTGATTTCTCCGGTGCATTTAACACAATTCAGCCTGATGTACTTTGCCAGAAACTCCAGAAGACACATGTGGGGGCCTCAACTATTGCCTGGATTAAAGTCTACTTGACAAACAGACCACAGTTTGTGAGGCTGAAGAACTGCACATCAAACCAGGCGATCAGTAACATTGGAGCACCACAGGGGACTGTACTCTCAACATTCCTTTTCACCCTGTACACCTCAGACTTCCAGTACAAATCAGAGACCTGTCATCTACAGAAATACTCAAGATGACTCTGCAGTTGTCGGGTGTATCAGAGATGAACAGGAAGCTGAGTACAGAGAGCTAGTGGAGTGCTTTGTGGCATGGTGTGGAAACAATCATCTGACCTTGAACGTGAACAAAACAAAGGAGATGATTTTGGACTTCAGAAGAAACAGGGTGGAGTCAAACACTGTTTCCATCATGGGAGAACAAGTGGAGGTGGTTGAGGAATACAAATACCTTGGAGTTCACCTAGACAACAGACTGGACTGGAGAAAGAACAGCAAAGCCATTTACAAGAAGGGACACAGCAGACTGCACTTCATGAGGATGCTTAGGTCCTTCAATGTCTGTAGCAAGATGCTGCAGATCTTCTACAAGTCTGTTGTTGAGAGTGTAATCTCTTCAGCCATCGTCTGTTGGGGTAGTAGCATCAGAAGCAGGGACTGAAAAGGCTCAACAGCCTAATAAAAAAGGCTGGTTCTGTTCTGGGAACGACTGTGGAACCACTGGAGGAGATAATGCAAAGAAGGATTCTCCAGAGAATCAAGACAATTATGGACAACCCTGAGCATTCTCTTCACAAGACAAGTCTTCAGTCAGAGGCGTCTTCAGTTTCACTGTAACACTGACCGCTACTGGAGATCCTTCCTGCTAACAGCCATTGCAATATACAGTAACTCTTTGATGACTTGATTATTATTATTATTATTCAGAGCTACTACAGCAATTTCCCTCTGATTAATAAAGTATTTTTGAATTGAATTGAATTGTGTTGCTCTGTGCTTCAAACTGCGATATGAAGAAATTGACACAGTCGTATGAAGTAGGGGTTGTATGAACTAGTCGACTAGTCGACTTCGCTGCTCTGTAGTGACTTTTTATGCCTGTCATCGACTAGTTGCTGTCATGTGATAATGAGCGACAAGATGCAGTCCACGGAAAAGACAGCAGGTGACAAGCTCCTACGCGTCGGGAGGCGGAGGCGACGTGCTGTGCCAGAGCGTCGGTACTGACACCCGCGGTAAAACGGACATTTAACCAAATTGTGACGTTTACCCTCTTGCAATTTAACCTTCCCCTCACCCCCATACTAATCTTAACCAGCTTGCACATGCAAAGCTCTGATCGTTGACGCGCTCCAGACATCTGCGTCCTGAGCACGGCCACAATAACATTATCAAATTAGGTGTCGCCACCTCAAAAACAAATTTAACATGCAATCGTTTATGTCGGCTCATTTCCTTTTATGTTTTCTGTCCTTTATTTGTGCCTGATGCTTTTCGCTGCTGTGGAGCGGGACGTATCACCTGTTTTGTCCTCCGGTGACGCACCTCACTGATGCGGCCGGCGAGCAGCACGCACTCCGCTGTTTTTGCGGTCGGTAGATTTTTTAGAACTGCAGTTCAAAGGTAACTCGTGAGGTGAATATATATTAACCCAGGTAGCAGTTTTTCTTTAGGATTGAGAGGAGATGCAGGAAGATAATAAACAAACAGGACAGAAAAATAGTCTAATAAAACTACTAAGTTTTTGTACCTGGTGGTAGCAACAAACAGACACCACTGAAGGTAATCAGAAGTGAGGAACAGAAAATGAAATAATTGTCATCAACGACTAGTCAAAGTTGACTCGATTTTCATTACTTGACTGTCGACCTTAAAAAAATTAAGTCATGCAGCCCCTAGTATGAAGTGCAAGTGGCAATGTGCAAAACTATCCACCAGTTGTTGTGCAATGGGGTAGTTTCTCATCCTTTTATAAAAGGAAATGGCTCAGTCCTGAACAACTATCTGTTGCAAAGGCGATCTTTTGTAGATTTGTTCATGTGCATTAGTGTTGTTATATAGTACCAGGCATCTGCAGGTCTGTCTAATCAAAATGTTTAAACGTTTCAAGAAAAAGAAAGTAAATTTTTAGGGTTACTGAGAAATAGTTTTATACTTGTTTTGGAAATATGATTGGTCACTCTGAGTTTTTCATGCAGGCTGAATGTGAAAATAGTCTTACCCCTATTTCCTGCATTAGCTGCCGATAGAAAATAGACGGTGAAACACTCGGATTAGAAAGCCTGACAGATATGTCAAGACACCCATCTTTACTCGTGACAGGGAAGTCTGTTGTTGGTTTAGCGTCCAGAAAACGTCTCAGCTAGTAGAAGCTAACTGTTAGCATTAGCATCTCAACCACACAGCAGAACTCCTTCAGGCTTGAGTTATTTGTGGAGATAAAACATAAAAGTTGCAGAGCAAATGGTAGCCTCGCGCTACTGCTAGCCAATCAGAGCGAGATGTCTGAATATCAGGATATAAAAATGAGTGAAACCTTTTTCACACTGAATGCAGTACGAAGGCGGTCCGGTATCTGTACAGCTTCTGGACGAACTGTCTTTCACACTGAATGTGATGCGTGTGCTGAACGTGTCTGAAAATTTGCTCCCACAAGGGCACATAGTGAGTTGACATAACATGTTTATAAATATACCTGTAAAAATTGTGAACTGATATCCTCGCCACTAGTACTAAAAAGAAATATACCAAATGGACCTGGCTGAAAAACATCTCAATTACTCTCTAGCTCATGTAATATTCCTAACTTCATGAAAATTCACATCTGGATAAAATAGACTCCATGTGGAAACTTTCAAGAACTGTGCATCCAAAATTGTGCTGCACCGTGACTGGTGTGAATGTCCTGACTAGACTCTATGCAGATGCCACACAGAAACCGGACCACAATGGGTGTGAAAGAGGCTCAAGACTCCAAATGCTCACATCTTCTGCTCTCCTCTGCTCCAGCTAACTTCTACTTCCTGAAACAGAAGCACCAGAGCTTTTTTCACCTCAGTCACTCACATGGCATTCATTTAAACTAAAGACCACTTCAAAGGTATTGAAAAAAACAAGTGAACTTGCTCTTTAATGCAAACATACAATTGTATTGGTTTTCCCATGCAGTTTCAACACTTTTAAAGAAAGTCCCGACAATAGATCAATGAAAAGTAATCTGAATATTTGATGATGTTTGAATTCTCTTAATGTGCTGAATTGCAGAAAAACTCCTGTAAAATCAACATTAACCAGAGATACACCAATATGCTAACATTCCAATTGAAAACAGTTTATTGTTTTCCATTAAGCAGCAGTCTCACTGCTTTAATGCGCTCACCTAACATACACACACACACACACACACACACACACCCTCTGCTTCTCGCCATCATTGCTATTCCTTTCACACCTCAGCTCCTCTCACTATGGGAGAGCAATATGAAACTGTCCAACTTTGTGATTAAAACAGGTAGTCAAATCAGGATTTGTGATTACACTCCAAACCAGAACTAAAAATAAATGCATGCCGCTCATCCTCTGTTGAATACTGATTCCAATTGTATCTAAAAACCACGTTCATAACATGAATAACAGAATTTCCCAGAGGAACCTTCCTGAGGGATCAATAAAGTCATTCTGAGTCTGAATGTAAATATCTATATATTTAACTCTTTCATACCATTAAAAATAACTGTGATTGTTAAAAAAAGCCTTAAGAACAGGAGACAAATCAGACACGGATGTTGTGCTGCCATTGTTCATCAATAAAACTTTAATTCACGCTGACATCGATTGTACTAGTTCCTGAAAGTCAGCTGGAGGGATAAAATGGCATTTTTCCTAAAGGTATTTCACAATTAGATGAGAAGCCTAAATGATCCTACGTATTTAGTTATGTGGTATATTGTTCCTGATTTTAGGGCAGAAACCTGGAAACAAAAATAATTCTTGACTTATTTACTCTGCATTTTATATAAAACCTTTCATCTTATAAAATATGCATTTTTGTAACAGTTTAACATGTATATTTTACTTGTATTTTTATATATTTTTCAATGGCATGGGTTTATCTGTTTCATTCATCCACAATTCTTGGACTACATTTGTCTGTGCAAAACATTCAAGTAGTAATCTTTCTATAGATTAGTTCATTTATTTCTGACGTATAAGAATATTATTTTACATTACATTTGTGTAGTTTTTGGACCACTAAACTCCTAAAGTATATGGGTCTTCCTAATGAGTGGTTTTATTGGCTATAACTTCAGTGATTGTTGGTACACTTTGGCATGGATTCAGCATCTTTTGTTTCCGCACCTTTTATGAATGTAAAGTCAAACAAAGTTTAATTAGATTTGTTTTTATTTGTTTGTTAGTTTATTATTAGCATGATTTCTCTGTGTTGCATCTGTTTTCATACTGTGTGTTACCGTGTAAACAGGTGGTATTATAGAAAACATCAAGAAGTAAAATCATGGTGATTCTGTGATGCTGCAGACATTCTGAACATGTTGTGGAAAATTGTTAAACTGAAAAAAACAAAGGGGTCTTGAATACACACAAAATACACACGATGATGAGGTTAAATGTCACTGATAGTGAGTGTATTTCTTGCTTAACTGGTTCAAGCTGCTCTGGACGTTTCCTGTCACCATGGAAACTAAAGATTGTCTGCCACACATGTAGTTATGTCTAACAGGTTTGTGGTTTGTGTGTGTGTGTGTATTTGTGAATCAGTTTAATCTTTCTGGCAGCTAATTAGTGCTAAAATCAGCCAAGTAGATGTTTAGTGCTCTTAGAGGTCAGTTGAAATGTAAAAATAAATAATACTAATAAATTCCTTTTGGAAACTTTTCTTCTACTTGTTAAAAATACACAATATTTCTTATATTTTAAAATTACATGCAAGCAAACTGTTGTTTTATGTGGGTGCATGAACCAGTGTGCACTTTATGCAGGAATCAAGACAGTTAATTAGACTTTAATAACATTTGAAACTCATGGTCCGCCAATGTGTGATTTTCAGTACCAGGGTCACAATTATGTAAAATATTTTAACCGTTTGAGATAGCTCTTTGAGCAACCTCAGTTTGGATAAATAGAGATCAGCTCTGATCAAATAAACATGCTAACAGCTAGTCACAGAGAAGCAATAACCACAATAGCTTCTGCAAACACATCTAGTCAGGACTTCATTATTTCTAAGTAAATGCATGAGGTCAAACCAATGATGCATTCAAGATTTACAAAAGACCATTAGCTTGAATTGTTTTTCAAAAATTATTTATCTAATGGACCTCCAGGTGAAGCTGCTGGTCTGTGCTGGGAATTAGCAACAACTCTGTAGCACTTCCAGTTTAATGTGTCACAAACAACTAGCTATGTCGCGCAAAAATGAAGGCCCTGTACAGTGTTAGCATAAAGATGTGTTGGCATTAGAGTTGATTAAAACAACATCTACTGTCAGGGAACCCACAGGGATTAGCTGTTAGCTCATCCATCTGCCCAGAACCAACCTGTATTTCTTTAAATGGGATGTTCAGAGAGCTATCTACAACAGTTAAGATATTAATTATTCATAACCCTTCTACAGAAACCCACCTTAAAAGCTCTGAACTATTCTTTAGCAAAAGTAACCGATATAATAGACAACGAGCTGGAGCTATGGTAACTGTAGACTTGTGCCAAGATGTATATTTTACATTTAACTATGACATAGCAAACTGGCAAATAACTTCCTATGAGGGACTTTCCCTTATCTATATAAAAATAAACCAGGTTTTAGGATTGCATTTACATGACTCACTCATTCACATTCACACTTTCTCACACACACATATGCACACACACACACACACACACACACACACACACACACACCCCTACAATGTAAATGTCTAAGGCCAGGTTTGGGAATGGAGGGCACAATTAAGTAGCTTATAGGCTTCTAGGCCCTCTTTTGTATCACCAAAAGTAAAAAAAAACTGCACTGGGAATCAGTACCAGAAGGTGGATGTTCTTTCTGGAGTATTTAGAGAAAACCCTCCTTGTGATGTTGTGGTAGATATTACCACTGCCCTATTTCTCAGTTGACTCTGTGTTTGTGAACAAACCCATTGACTACTAGGGCGTGCTCTTTTTTCTGCGTGAAATACCGCTAACAGGAACGACTTGATTAAGGGGCAGTGACAATCTTCAGTATGAAACCTCTTCCTTTTCCAGAGTATGATTCACATGCGCTAACCTAGAGCTTGTTGCCCCAATGGCAGGTCATTGTATTTTGGCATGTGAATTGTCTCTATCACAATCACTCTTCTTTGTCTCTGTTTTTCTTGTACCTCAGAGGTTTTTATCCAAAGTATTTTGCCGTCCCCTCTCAAGTTTTGGTCTACGAGCCATCTCGGGTCCTATGTGGTTCACAAGAGTTTTCCCACGAATCCCTTCAGTGGGGAAGAGACAATTGTGGCCCAGCACTTTCTGAGCAGCTTCTAAATGATTCGTTCCTCTCTTGTAATGTATGTTAATACTGCGTTTTGGGCTGGCACTAGAAAGCAGACGTTCTGAAGGGCTGGCCTCAGCGTTGTCCCGGAGATGCTCATCATCATCTGTGTCAGCATCAATGTATTTACTGATGGAGGAGTCGTGAAAGGTGAAGACAGTAGCGGCTGTGGCAGTGGTGTCTGGAGACTTTGGTGGTGTCCTGCTGCTGGCAGTAGTATACACAGAGACTTCGGGGCTTAACAGAGACTGGTCTGACACAACTGAGCTGTCTGAAAAAGGGTATGGCCCTGAGTCCCCATCACTGGAGCAGCCTCCCTTAAGGCTTTTTGAGGAGTTTCCGGAAAAGAAGAACTTTCTTGGGTTCTCGGAGCATGTGGACTTCGACACTGATGTAAGAATGGACTCATGCGGCCCTAAGGTTGGCTGGCTAGCTTTTGTTCTATTGTGCTGGGACAAACCTGTGGCTTGAGCAAAAGTGAAGCGGCTGTTTTCATGAAGACCGAGGTCTGGTGCTGGACTCTGGGGGAAGCGTGGATTCTCTTGGAAGTCTGTTGCACAGCTGATGTAGCTATCAATGCTAGATAAGCTTTTCATATCCCCCACTCCTTCTCTTGTACCTAGAGCTGATGAGCCATGATTATGTATGGCTCCAAGCTCAATCTCATCCCTTGGTTTCCCTGATCTGGAGCCCCTCTCTTTAGCATTGAGGTTGGGTTGTGACCGCGCCTTTGCCATCTGATTATACATCTCCTCTAGTTTCTCAACATTTAGTCTTTGGGGACTGGTTGCTCGGGCCTTGAAAGGAGAAGCTACCTCTTGAGCATTGAAAGATCGGTTTGAGCTCGTCTCTGATGGAGCTCTTTTAGAGGTCCATTTCCAATGACTTGGAGAAAGGTGGTTGTCTTGAGGTCTTTCACTCTTCTCTACCACCACATCCATGAGCTCTGCACTACGAGCAAACGCCTCCTTCAAGTTCATAGAAACAATGCTACCATTTCTTTTCGCCCTTTCAAGAGCCTCCCTTCTTTTGAGGGCTTTCTCTTGCCTCTTCTGCTCCTTGTAGAATTCAGAGAAGTTATTTACAATAATAGGAATAGGTAAGGCAATCACAAGTACCCCAGCGATACAACAAAGCCCCCCAACAATCTTTCCCAACAGGGTTTTGGGGTAGATGTCTCCATAGCCTACAGTGGTCATTGTAATGGTAGCCCACCAAAATGAAGCTGGGATGCTTTTAAACTTTGTATCCTCCTCATCCTTCTCAGCAAAAAACACAAGACTAGAGAAGATCATGATGCCCATGGCCAGGAAAAGAATGAGCAGGCCCAGCTCATTGTAGCTCCTTCTGAGTGTGAAGCCCAGAGATTGAAGACCCGTGGAGTGACGAGCCAATTTCAGAATCCGCAGAATCCTCATAATCCTAAAGATCTGAACGACACGGCGGACATTCTGAAACTGCAGCACGCTCTTGTTGGACTCTGTCAGGAAGATGGTAACGTAGTAGGGCAGAATGGCCAACAGGTCGATGACGTTTAGAGGACCCTTAAAGAACTTCCATTTATTGGGTGAGGAGAGGAAACGGAGAAGGTATTCCATGGTGAACCAGGCGATGCACACGGCTTCCACATGGGCCAGCTGGGGGTTGTCTGTGGACTGTCCAAACTCATCTGTGCCTTGCAGCTCTGGGAGGGTGTTCAGAGATAAGGCGATGGTGGACAACACGATGAAGAGGATAGAGATGATGGCCAGGATCTGAAAGAGACATAATTATAGAAATAATTACAGTTCGGACTGCATGATGAAGGAATATGATACAGCACAGTGCAGAAGTTGAGATGTTTATTGACTGAGTCTAGTCAAATCTGAAGTATGCCAGCCAGTTCAACCAGTATGATGAGCATTTTATGTGTCAACAAGATGTACTAAAGCCAGAGCATAGCAGAGAGTAGTGATGTCCACAAACATCTCTATGTTTATCACACAACTTGCAGCACAATCATCTCACTGTCAACGTGCAAAAGATGGAACACGCTTCCTTCCAACATGTTTCAAAAGGTCAGGAATGCAGGATGACCTTAAGTGAATGCCAATAATGTCAGAGTTTAAACAAACCTTCTGTAAAGGCTTTTCTATGACTGGCTGTGAGATAATGGACCCAATCGGTTCAGACTACTTATTTATTTATGTCTCACTTATCAGGATTATCCGCATGTGACTGGTCTTAAGTGGACGATAACATTTAGCAACCACTAAAGTGTCCATCCTAGCGTCCACACAAGTGAATGGATCATTTCTGCTCTTCAGTGTTGAATAGTATATATATATATATATATATATATATATATATATATATATATATATATATATATATATATATATAACATGTTAAAACTCTAAGAAGATTCTGAACTTCTTGTTTTTGAAAGTAGAATTAAAGAACGTTTTTTCATATTAGGATTTCTGTATATGATTATAATGGATTTTTAAACTGCCATTCTGGCTGTGCATAAAATAATGAAAATCATTCTAATAGGTTAACATCCCACGGATGAGCTAGTGCTAAAGGTCACGAACCCAGCAGTTCTCGTGTTATCTTACAGTTCAACTGAAGCATTTCTACCTTCATCACCTGACAGGTGACCATTCACCACATACATGTGGATTTTTTTTTGTCATAAACTCATTCAAGTCTTCATTTAGGCCAAGTATTGTCCATCAAACAATTTCATGCCATGGAGTCTAGCTAGTTTTTGTATCTGTCTTTATAATCTATGCTAAATGGAGTGAAGCTGATGACAGCAACAGTAGACAAACAGCAGGATTAATACAACAACTATTGTTTGCAATGATCTCTAAACAGCACAACTTAGAGAGATGAGTAGGAGGTTGTTGCAGGAACATGGAGCCTGTTTTGGCCATTGCCCACACGCAAAAGGTTAGGATGTTATATGATGATCTAAATCATAGAACAGTTGGAATAAAAGGCCCTTGTGGAACGTTTGATGCAAAAATTGTTTATTTGCTAAGTGTGATGTAACTTTCTTGCATAAATCTTTAAATTAAACAGAGCTCTCAAAACATGTCTTTTATGTTAAAATGGTTAAAATGAAGACAAGGAAACAAATAAAGAGAAGGTAGGAGCTGACGATTGACAGAGGCGACATTGACAAAGCGCCAATAATTCAGACTCCTGGGAGCGTAAGTGATGTCTAAAAAGGTAACATTATCTATGACCAATCAGAGCAGGAGGATACTGTTGCCATAGCTTCAAGGCAGGCATGAATAATAGCCCTATCTGTTTATTTCCCTCCTTCCTTCTGTGTGCCTCCCCACTGCCCTGGAGGAAATCTATTTGAATCAAACACTGGAGTAGCAGAGGGGGGCCGCAGGGTGAGGGGCTGAGGCTGACAAGGGCAGGGGAAAGAAGCAAAAGGGGCAGAGAGGAGATGCTGTTGAACAGAATTTTTTTTCTATAAAGTAAATACCAGGATTTATTGTGTGTCACAGTGTTATCTGCTGCACCTTTGTAAACACCAGGTATTAAAGGTCACTTTATGGGTACAAGGTACAAGCTTGTTATAAGTCAAAGGAGAGAGACAGATACAAATCCCAAACCTAAAGCCTCTGGACAGGGCCGGCCCAAGCCTTGGTGGGGCCCTGCACAAGTTTTTCTTTGGAGCCCCCATATCAACAAGTCAAAACCAGATGATTCATAATTCCTAAGCTACACCGTTTATGTAACATACCCACAGTCGTTGGAGTCTTTTGTAATTTACTTACATCATGTGTTATTATGGTTATTGATTGTAAAATGACCAGAGCAGCAAACCAACAAAAACACTCTAATTCATTTGCATTTTGAAATGCAGAGTGTAATTTAAGTGTGGTATATTAATTATTTGAACATTGACAAACACCAAATTTACAGTAAAAAGTAAAAATGCTTTGCACATGCCTTGGGGTGGCGTTGCCCCTGGAGACTGGGTTTACCGCAGGACAGGGCAAAAGAAGAGGCAGGGGTAATAGGATTGTGGGGATATAAAAAGGTCGCTAATGAAGGAGCACCGCTGCTGCTGTCTAATGTTTTGGTGATGAGGTTAAGTTCCTCTAGGAAGCCTTACGCATTTCCCACTGGACTCTGGTGGCTCTCCCTCCATGCTCTCCATCTTTATCCCTGTCCTTCCCATGCTGTTTACAAACTCCAAACCTTTCAGCGCCCATGAAAGAGGCCACAAACAAGTCTGTGTCCATAAAAAGCATGAATGAAGCTCCAGACGTAACTCTAATGGCTGTTCATAAACGCTACCTTGACTCACAGCCTTCATAGCAGAACAATGTGTCATAAAAATAGAGACCACACCTAACTTTGTGCCCTATACTCTTTGATTACAGTATTTGAGACATAATATTAATAGCAGAGCCAGCGAATGCTTCTTTGTGGCCCATTAAAGTGAGGAAAAGATAAAAAAGGAACATGTGTGCAGTACATGAAAAGAGAGAGAGGACAGATTGACAGGAAATCCCACTGTGACACTAAACAAACCTAGATCACACGGACGGTTTGTGTCTCTAATGACACACTTTCTCGTGGCTCAGTGACACAAAAGTCCACAGAGAGCGTCGTCATCTTTAGGAAAAGGTGGCACTTGCCCTCATGAGGCTGTAAATGAAAATAAATGTTAAGATGCTCTCAAAGACGGATTTGAGTTTTAAGGACACGGCTCTGATAGCACCGACTCCGTTCTCCAGAGGAATGCAAGTTCAGAGCACAGAAATAGCACATTTATGGTTATTTTGGGATATTTTGCTGTACTTGAACCTCAAGGTCATCTCTGTACAGATTTAGTGTGTGACCCTGCTTTTACAATGTCTGTGTCACAGCTGTTGTGATTTCATTTCCTCTGTAAAACAGTCTATAATGTCAAAGTCAGGCACAAAAAAAACCTGTTTTACTAATCTAAGCTGCTAAAAACAAACGCATCCTCCAGTCAAACTGAACAACACGTGAAAGATGTGCATCAAAGCTCCCACAGCTACACAAAACCAGTCACAAAGCAGGCTAAAGTACTCTTGCTTGTACTTGTACTTAATCTGTGCTTGTTGGCTGCTAAACAATTGCAGTTCACCTTGCTCATTGGGGACAATTAAGTTAATCAGAATCAGAAAATGAAGGCCCAAAATAAAACAGTGTTTCTCATGAAAAAAACAAACAAAGTTTTCAGTTTTTTTCTGCATTCAGAAAGTGTCCAAGAGAACTACTTTTTTATTAGCTTCATGTGCACCATGACTGGTATAAATGCAATATTTGATGATTAAAATGTGTGTTTTGTTAAATCTTGTGGATATTATTTCCTCCCATCACATTTATACAATCAAACTAAACCTCAGTCCAATATTCATGCAAAAACTGCTTTTAATCGAATCAGATCGAACTGGCATTGTTTTAATTTTATTTTATATTCTTACCTTTAGCTATTCATTAGAAGTTTATCAGGTAAAATCGCTGACTTCTACAAAGTCCCGAGCCACTGAGCAAAGCCCAGATATGGTTCACTGGTTTCATTTTCTCATTACTAAAGGTGAAATAATTGTTTAAATGTGTGGAACACTTGTTTCATCAATACATTTGTAATGGTTTCTATTAGGAATTAATGCCTTGTAAGTCAAACTCTGGGGAAAAAAAGCTCCAGTGCACCCGTTTCAGGAACTAGAACAGCCACATTAAAGCTGAGCTGAGGTGGCAAATTTTGGATTCTTCTTTCCTGATATTTTTGACATCTCGCCTCTGATTGAATAAGAGCAACACAATTACCACTGACTTGTAACGTTGATGTTTTATCTCCACAAATAACACAAGCCTGGAGGAGTTCTGCTGTGTGGAGCAGTTGCTAATGCCAACAGTTAGCTTTGACTAGTCAAGACATTTTCTGCTGTGTCTTGGACGCTAATCCGACAACAGCCTTCTCTGTCACGACCCAAGATGGGTGAGTCATGAATGTTAAGTGACAGTGTGATGTAGATCTGTCAGGATTTTCAAATCCTAGCGTTTCATCGCCTATTTTCTCTCAGCAGCTAATGCAGCAGATAGGTGTAGGAGACTATTTTCATTTTCAGCCTGCATGAAATCTCAGACTGACCGATTATCATCATTAATAATCATTAAAAATGTGTTTTCAGCCAACCACATCCTTAATCTGTTTGCAATGTCACTCAGGATATTTATGCATCCTTAGAAGAGCAGCTTGGATATAAGATTTTGATAATTTAGTTGTTTGTCTTCTTAAAGCCTCAAAGTGGGAAAAAGTGCAATAACCTTCCCGTTAATGAACTCCCAGCCTCCCAGAACTCTAACTAGAGCATCATCGCCTGCAGCAAGGTGAACTATGAGACATGACCGCAGAGGAAGATTCCTGTTCCTGGAGGTCCCAGCACCATCCGGAGAAGCATGTTATAACCTACATAATAATAACAGGTGCAACTCTTTAACTCCCAGCTGACCCTTTACAGCAGGCATCTGCGCAGGTTTTTATGGGGGGTGATGTTGTGTCTGTTTTCGGTTGAGTAAATCCAGGTCTTGCATGAACACTAAGATCCCCAGACAGCTGGCTTGCTTTCCCATCATCCCTCGAGCCACTTCGGAGGCCACGGGGATACCATGCAACAGTCTCCCAGCCTCGACTGCTAGCCACTGTCACCATGACAACCCCCTTGAAGCTTGACAGGAGGTGGCTATGTGGACCTGCTTGTGAAAA